ACGTTTATACGACACTCTACACTGTCATAATTACTAACAACAGTTACAAACACTGCAGTGCGTCATAAATACTCTTAGCAACAACCTCCTAACATGACTTTCGAGGTTTTATAAAAAAAAATTTAATAATGGAGCAATCCCAGAGTACTTGTCAACTTTTATTATCATTCCAATAGTAAAATCTTATAAAAAATCTCTTAACAAACCAGGTAACTATTGTGGAATTAGTATCATATCTAATTTGACAAAACTTTTCACATATATTTTCATGCAAGTATGTCCGGAAATATCAGATAGTTGCTCTCATCAATTTGTTTTCAAGCAAATTACTTCAACATTTTATGCGGAATTCTTTTTAAAAAAAACAATAAAATAATATGTAAAAAGGTAAAAGACCTTCGAATATAATAATATGATAAAAAGGTAAAAGACCTTCGAAATATTTAACAGAGAATTGTTCTTTAAAAAACTTTATTACAACAAGAAAATACCGTATCAGTAGTTTGCTCATACAATGATTATACCGCTCGGGTATCGCTTATATATCATAGCTTGGGCAAAAGTCGGGTTGTTTTAGATTGCAAAGTTGGTACAACTGGTATTATTGCTAATGCAGACGATATAGTTCTTCAAATTCCTACTCATTCTGGAATACAAGAAATAGTTAATAAAGTTTAAACACAATGCAAAAACCTCTCTATCAAACGAAACACTTTAAAAAAGCCGAGACCAATATTTTCGGTAAAAACTCAATAAAAAACAATTTAAATTAACATTTCTTCCCTACATCTCAACAAAAATCGAAGACACCTTGGACTCCTAAGGGATAATCAAAACCATACACGATATATAGCTACACTGCAAACAGCAAACACAAACAAAGCATTATTCAAATTCAACCAATCTAGATAGCTCTTCTAAAATCTGGAATTCTTTTTTTTGAGCGATTAACTATAATGTACTTGCTTAATTATCTGGCTGTATTTAATTTATCTTCCCTACATCTCAACAAAAAACGAAGACACCTTGGATTCCTAAGGGATAATCAAAACCATACACGATATATAGCTACACTGCAAACAGCAAATACAAAACAAAGCATTATTCGAATTCAACCAATCTAGATAGCTCTTCTAAAATCTGGAATTCTCTTTTGTGAGCGATTAACTATAATGTACTTGCTTAACTATCTGGCTGTATTTAATTAATCATACAGCTTTGTATGATTAATTAAATACAGCCATATAATAATTCATTTTTTAATAATTTAAACGCTTACAGAATTTCGGCGTTAAAACTCCTCTTCTGCGTATCAAAGTACAGGTAAAACTTATTTACATTCCTTCTTTATGATTGATGACATGTCTACCATTTCAAACAAACATGTTTATCAAATAATTGAAACCTTTTTTACCTGCTTTTAACACAAATATAAAAAATTAATAAAGATAACTACTTTATAAGCGAAGTTCTGAAAATTTGCAACCACTTGGAGTAAATATATAGTGTCTGATAGAGAGTAAAAAAAATTATTTGCAAACGTCCTATCGTTAACATAAAAAATAATATAGTGGCAACTTTAAACCTGTCCTTTAAATTTTGTTATATTAGAGAACATTTACTCATATTTAAATACTTGATGGAAAAAGGTATTTTAAAAAAAATCTCAATTAGATTTCAGAATAATTTCATGAACTATTAGTTTTAAACACTTTGTTTTTTTATATGTAAACTGGGTAATTAAAAGTTTAAATTAATAATGTCATTCTAATGTAAATTTTTTAAAAGCAAAAAAAAATTAAAACTTTTAATTTATAAGTGAAAATGTTTTTTTTTATAATTACTAGATACTTTTTTTCCTGAATGTTGCATTTATTCTTATCCACATCCAACGAGTATTTTTTTTAAAGTAAAAAAATCAGTAAATGGAGGAGGTAAGGTTTTATGTTGCTGTTTCCAAACAAACAAACAAACAGTAGGAGTGTTGAATTAATTTTTTTAAATTAAGTATCTTTGATATAGAGTAGAGAATATTAAATTCAGAGTTAAAATACTGAAAAGAGATTTTTGTTAGGGCTTTATTTTGGAGGTGAGATAATCTTTTTATTATTAGAGATTGGGTTTGTCCCCATTCGACAAGCAAATCTAAGATTGAAAAATAGAGACTCAAAAACAACATGATAAATGTAAAGGAGCGTTTCAAGACTAAGATATTCTCAATTTTTGTCCAACATACTAATTGACCTGCTTAGCTTCAGTGTTAAGTCTTAAAGATGGGATGCACAAATTGGAATCAATTTTGATATCAAGATATTTGATAAAATTCATAGAACTATTATTTTGACCGCTTAATTTATATATCAGGTGCATTTTTACTTTTGTTTGAGTTTTTGTTTGAATTGATTTAAAAAAATTTTTGAAATTAAGTGATAACTTATTGGATAGAAGCCACTGGAGTAGATTCGCTAAGTTATGGTTAATATTTTTGTTTATCTTTTCAACTAATTTGTTCATTAAAAGCAGCTTAGTGTCATTAGCAATGCGGTAGGCAGTGGAAAACTTTAGATAGGTATTTAGATAATCAATAAAGAGAAGGAAAAGCAATGGTCCTAATGCAGAGCCTTGTGGAACACTATTCGTTGATTTTAATAATTCTGATTCTATCCTATTATAAAAAAATTGTGTTCTATTTTGAAGATAAGATGAAAACCATTGAAGTTTTGTGCCTCTGATACCATAGTGCTCCATTTTTCTGATTAGAATGGAATGATCAACTGTATAAATGGTTTTCTGAAGATCAACAAAAACACCACATGCAAAGAATGTTGTCTAAAGCTTTTCTAATTTTTACAGTTATATCAATTAGTGCATGAGTTGTTGAATGATTGTTTCTAAACCCATACTGATTTTTATAAAGATACTTGAATTTCTCCAGAAAGCTGTAGTGTCTATTGTGCTTAGCTTTTTCAAATAATGTACTTATATTTGAGAGAAGAGAGATATTAGGGCAATAATTAAAGTAATCAAATAGAGAAACTTTTTTATGTATTGGTGTCATTTTAGCTATTTTAAGCAGATCTCAGAAAATTTATTTGTGGCTTTGAGAATATGTATGGAATAACCTCAACATTAAGTGTAGGGATGCTGTCTGGGCCCAGATTTTTTTGTTTTGAAGATTCCTAACGATACTCGACACCCCAACTTTTGTCAATAGATTTTTAGAAAGCGTCTAAAATCATAATTAGGTATATTTTTTTTTTATTAAATTCTCTTGGATAGTACCAAAGTAATTGTTAAAAGTATTAGCAATTGTGGTTGGATCAGAGATGATTTATTTTGAGGTTAAAAGAGTTATTGTATATAGCAGGTCTAATGTCGATAATTTCTTTTATTCTTTTCCAAGTTCTCCTAATGCTGTTTAGGTTATTGTTAAAAATAGATATATAATACATTTTTGTTGTTTAAGTAAGTTGCTTATGTAACTTCCATATAACCTAAATTTATCAAAGAGTAGATTTCTTGTAACAATATTGTTTGATTTAACAAATTTTTTTATGAATGACATTTTTAATTGAGATGGATTTAAAAATTCCAGCGGTTATCCATGGTTTAGATTTAAGTTTAACTTTTTTTTGTTAAAATTTTATAGGGAGCATTTCTGTATGGAACTTTCTCAAATGTTTTTAAAGAACTTATTATTGATTTATTTATATCCTTATTTAAGTAATACAAGTAATACAATATAAGTAAAACAGAGTACCTGGGCCATGTGGTCTGAAATAGCAGTTTTTAGATTGCCAGAGATTTTTTCAGGAGAGTAGGAGTTTACAAAATATTATCAATGAGAGATTTGGATTCTGAAGTTATACGTGTTGGAAGAGTAATGGTTGGGAGCATGTTTAAAGATAATTAGAAACATTAGGAGATTCTCTATAATTATTTAAGACCGTGTTAAAATCACCCATTAATATATATTTTTTTACATATCTTAATTTCTCAATTAAAGGAGTTAAATGGTTTGTGATGAATTCTTTTGGTTTAAAGTTGGGTGACGATATATGCAGCCAATTAAAGTATTAGTTTTATTAGAATTGATACTTAAACAAAAATTGATTCGAGAAATATCGAGGCTTAGATTGTAAGATTATCACGAACTAGATAGTTAAGATTAGAGCTTAGATACAGAAGAGCTCCAACTTTTTATGACTCAGTAAGGCAATGTTCAGTGTTAAATCCATTTTAATAGCAGTTTCAGTTATATTTAAGTCTTTTATAATATCAGTTATATTTGAGTCTTATTTTATAATAAGACTCAAATATAACTGATATTACTATAAATGGATATAACACTGAACATTGCCTTACTGAGTCATAAAAAGTTTGAGTTCTTCTGTATCTAAGCTCTAATCTTAACTAACTAGTTCGTGATAATCTTACAATGTAAGCCTCGATGTTTCTCAAATCAGTTTTTATCAATTTATATATTATACAAATTTAACTCAGTAAATCCTATCACCATAGGGAAGTATTAAGAGTATCAATAAGGCTACGGAGATCGTTGATATGTTGTGGAAAGGAAGCAATATTGAGACAAAGGTATATATCAGTATCAGGATTTAAAAAATTATTGAATTCAGTAACATCAAGATGTTTACATTTAATAGTTGAATTATATACACTATTAATACCTCTGTTTAGACTTTAGGTGAGCAGGAGATTCAAGCGATTTTAAAAACTTTAGTGAAAGATTCTTGCATGAAATTGTAAACTTAAGTTTTTGGTGTGAAAGGCTACTAAATGATATATTTTTTTAAATACAGTCAGAGCAATTTCATTCTAAAGAGTCATTGCAGATAATGTTATATGTTAGTTTATTGATTAAATAAGCGACACATTAAAAACATTTATTCAAATATGTTTTATATTTTAACGCTCATGAATAGTACATAAAGAACATGAAAAAAGTCTTATAAAAGTATTAATTTTAATAATATTCCTACCCAACAGTTGCAAAGGTAACAAATGACCACCATAAGCTTGTACCGAATCCCTGAATGAAGAACTTGCTAAAATCGTTGTTTTTTAATGATTCCTAAAAAAAATTGCTACTGGGAACAACTTGGGCAACTAAAATATGCAAATGCATTTTATTTCAACTAAAACTAGCTGTAAGTGTAAGGTTAAACAAAGTTTTAAGACTTGATACGGCTACACAATGATTATTTTTTTATGTTTTTTAATGAAAAAATATTTTAGCATTAAACAATATTCTAGATAACTATAATTAATTATTTTAGACAATTTAAAAAAATTTAGTAAAGCAGTATAAATCATTTTTATCCAATAATAATCTTTAGAAATTAGGATTTGGCTTTTTATATTTTTAGTTTGTACTTTTGATATTTGTTATAACAAAAGTTTGGTTTTTTGTTTATTGTAAATGTTACGGTAATGAATCAAATAGTACTTTTACTAAGTCAGGCTTAATTTTAACTACCAGTCCGACATAGAACTACCAACTTGAGAGTCGGAGCATTCTCTAACTCGACCTATTTTTTTGAGCTGGGCAAAAAACTTAGCTTAACTAAAACTTGTATTTTGAATTACATATTAGGACATAAAATAAAAAAAAAATGTGTATACTTTAATAAAATTTTTTTTTGAAACCTCGGTAGTAACATACCTTCGCGTCAAATATATTTTAACATAACTAAACATTTTCCTATACTAGCAAAACTAAAGTTTGCTAAAAGAAACTATAATTAAAAAATATATATATTACTAAATGAACTTCACAAAGGATAATTATCTGTATCTATTTCAAAATAGTTAAGTGTTTCGAAATAATTATTGTCTTAATGGTCAAAATAAAAAAACATAATATATTCAGAGAAAAAAAAAACTTCTGCTAAAACCAAGTCTGGAACCATTTCTAAAGACAAAACTTTGCATTTTTCAAAATAACTTGATTGTAACAAATTCAAACATCGTTGGATGGTCGAAGCAAATAAAAAAAAAAAAATTATCGTTTAAAAAATATCAATTCATTGTACAATTTTATCAATTCATTATACATAGAATTTACATAATTTTCAGTCGTTTGAAATATGCATAGAAATATCTTATAACAAAATATAATAAAGGCTATTAACATCATTAAATTAAATAGATTTTCAACAATAACAACAGCAACAGCAACAACAACAACAACAACAACAACAACAACAACAACAACAACAACAGCATCTAAAACAAATAAAATAAAACAAACAGCTTTTAAAAAGAGTAGTAATAATATATTTATAATGAAATTATCATTATATTAATAATATAAATATCAATATATTGATAATCAAATTATCATTATATTAATGATAAAAATATCAATATATTGATGCTAAAATTACCAATATAAATTAAAAAGAGTTTTTTCAAGTGAAAGTTTTTTGCTTTAAGAGACTCTTAGATTGGTTTTTGTAATGTTCCAAAGTGATCATTCGAAAGTATTAAATTTAGTAATAAATTTAGAAAGTTGTTTTCTTAAAAATGGTCCCAGTTGATACGGTGCGTTTTTTAAACGTTCGTCGGACGTTTTTATTAGGTTTAAGCCTAATAAAAACGCCTAAAGAACGCTTAAAAAACGCACCGTTTCTACTATGGTAAACAATATTACATTTTATAAAATCTTAGACAAACTAGTTCTCGGAACAATTAGGTTTTCAGTTGAAAATTGAGTAGCGCAGTTGAAGGAGGTTTTAATAAAGTCAGACTAAAATATAATTGAAAATTTGGGGTATATATATTTTATACAGTAAAGCATAACTTATCAAGGGCCTAAGATATGGAACAATTTTAAAAATAACCAGTGCATTATGGTGAAATTAGTAAATTTATTTAAGTTTCATTTAAAAAGACAAATTTTAAAATCAAATTTAATCATTGAAATTTGATATGCAACCCTTTTTACTGAATATTTTATTTAAACTTAATTTCTTATACTATGTTTTCTTTTTTATTTAATTTAATATATATTTATAAAATCTTATTATGTTTATTATCTTTTACCCTACATATGTAACAGAGACCCTTATTTTTTCATATTTTAACGGAGTTTTATTTAACTTTTTTTAGCAGTTTTATTTTATTTTTTTATTTTTTGAAAATGTTTCTTTGTCTTTCTTTGTACTTTTATTTTTTAGTTGTATAAACTTTGTAAATATATAAAAAGTCGCAAACTTTTTTTTGTTACTTTTTATGTTTACTCTTCTGTCTAAAATCCTTAAACTGTTTATATGAGTCAAATTCTTATGTAAAAATAAAAAGATTCATTGATGATACTCTGAGTTTAAATCATTATCTGAGATGTCTATTGTTAAGTTTCACCTAACTTTAATCATTATTGAAATTAATATAATTCCCAAGAGGTTCATAATTACGAGTTGATTTTCAATTTTCTTTTAAAACTTATGTATTTATATTTTTCTATACCTTTAGGAAGTTTAGGGAGTTTATTATTTTTACACTTTTTTTTTATATATTTTTTAATTTCAATTAACTCAAATAAAAAATATTTAAATCAGTCAAATATTTATAAATGCAAAGGAGATTAGGAGGTTTGTTTATAATTCAAAGGCGGAAATAAAAACTCAGGTTTTTTTTTCTTTATTCTCAAAGATGAAAAAAGATTTTATATGAAACTTTACGTTTATTTACTTTTTATTATACTCAACTTTCTCATTACTTTCAGACATTCTACGTTATCACGACTGATAAGTTTAAGATTATTATAATAACTTGGTTTTTATGTCTGCAATTAATTAGGCTATTATCAAGTTTATTATAGCTGTTGTTCCAATATTAGTCACTAAATTTTTTTATGAATCAAATTTTATTAAATTTTTATATAACTGATTATAATTATCCTAAAATGAAATGATTTTATATTATTATTTTTTTAAAGTTCGCACAAAATTAAAATCTTTTTTTTTTTTAGTTGTCATTGCTTTAATAGTTTGCTTACTGTTAAAAGATGGTTTTAATTTAGTAAATTAATAATGATATTAAATTTACTGTGTTAAACATTATTCCAAGTTATGAAAAATTGTAATTCTAAACTATTAGGGTGAAAATAATTTTGTTTATTGGTAAGATTAAAAAGCCTTTTTTTAATGGTTAATTGTGCTTTAGCTATTTTGTGCTAATATATATTTTTTGTCATAGTCATTAAAAACAACACCTTAAGTTATGAATATAAAAATTTACTTTAACTTTTTTAACACAGTAGCTTTAAAACGGTCTGTCACCTCTCTGTTTAACAAAGTTTATTAATAAAGAAGAGCATTATTGGAACACATTGTCATTACTAAGCTCTTCTGTTTTTTTTTTGGTATCATAATTGATAATGACTATAATTTAGAAATATTTTACGAGTCACTATTTAAATGAACACAATGATAAACATGTTAAATAATGTTAACCTTTATAAAGAAACTTACTTATTCTATAAAGCATTAAAAAATATGTGAATTAATGCTTTTGTAGTTTAAGATGACCTTTTTTTTAGTTATTGATAAGTTGTACTTGACTTTCCTTCTCTGGTGTTTGCTTCTATTAAAAAGAACCTAATATCTTAAGTTAAGTAAAAAAAGACCAAGTCTTTACTAAAAGCCAAGATTAAAAAAATTTAGCAAAACCAAAAAGATTATGTTACATAGATAGGGCTCCCATTGTCCAATTTTTATGAAGTTGAGCGCAACGCTAAACTAATTAAAACTTTTATAGCGTTTTTAAAAAAAAAAAGAAAAAGAAGTATCAAACAGAGCAAGTATAAAATAATTATTCAAAAAGTACGCATTTTAAAATAAAATTTTATTATTATTATTATTATTATTATATTATAACTAAATAATGTTGTTTATTATTGTTTTTAATAGCAAATAGCAAATAAAAAAATAATGACTTACTACTAACCATACGAGTAACGAGAAAAGTAAAATAAATCCGATAGCATGTGATGCGATTGGAAGGCTTTTTTTAATAGCTTCTAAAATTTTGCGCGAAACAGTAATTTTGTTTTTATTAACAATAACTCCAATATTTGGTGAATATATAAAAAAACCTTGTTTAACATTTCTACTTTTCAATATATTTTCATCTGCTTTAATTAAAATGGGAAACCATATTCCATTTTTTCCTGTATAATTTTGGAGCTCTTTATTAGCATTTTTTTCTTTTTCTAAACTTTTATAAAATTTATTTTGATCAAACGTTTTGTTAATTAAATGATATTGTACTAAATCTATTGAAGGACAACACAATTCTTGTAATCGTTTGTACATAAACGGCAATATACCATCTAAGTTACCGTCGCTTTCATAAAATATAAAAGGTTTAATCGGCCAAAAAAATACTTGATCTGGTACCAGCATTTGTCCTGGCAGAATATATACAAAAATCAAGCATACTGTTAGCTTATTAAACATTTTTTTAACAGCTTAAATTCTTGAGTTTTTTTATATTATTTAAACTATTTATTACTTCTGCTTGCTGTGTCACGATCTTGTTTTTATATTGATGAACTTTCTTGATTAGCTGTAAAACAAAAATGATTTTCGAGGGAAAAATGATTTTTGTTTTATTTTTTTGGAAATATTTAAAACAATTTGTATCAAAATAATTAAGCTCATAAATTAACTATAACATTTTAAAGGAGAATATTCATTAATATTAAAAAAAGAAAAAGTACATTGTTTTAAAATATTTATGTTTTAGCATTTTATAGATTACCATGTATCTATGACTCTTGCAATCAATAGTCTTTCAAAAAAATAAACTTAACATTTAAATATTTATAAAGAAAATGAAATTTGAAACTGAGATTTTAACTTTCAAATACAAGTGTGAAAAATAATATGCAATTATTTATAGTGCAAAATTTATGCAAGTAATCGAAATGATATAGACTTCCGTCTATGACATTTCTAGAATTTATCATTTTTTTGATTTAACATCAAAATTTTGGAGTTATTTATAACGGTTATGGTATGCATTAAAATATGCATTAAAAATCTCTCTAAGTTTCCAAATTTTAGAAATTCCATTTAGTTAAAATAATTTCGTAAATATTGGTAACAGTTGTTCAACTTAAGTTTTTATTTGAAAGGTCTTCTGTGTTACCGACAAAATAAAAAAAATTAAAATATTTGTTAAGATTTAACTAATAGGATTTACTGAACTTAGTTTGATAAGTTTAATAGTTTTTCTTTTGTTACCTGTAACTTTTACTCAATTAAAGCGTAATACCTCTATTCTTTGTTAGAAAAATTAAATATCTTTTTTTTTTTACAGATTTCAAAAATACTTGGTACATATTCTTAATGGCACTTGGTTTCTTAATCTACACACTGTTGTGAGAATTTGTTCTGGGAGATTCTTGTCTAAATGGTACCTGGTTATAAAACTCTTTCACTAAGTTTAACGCTTTTTTGTGACAGTACAAGCTGCTATATAGCTTCCATAAATCATCTGCATTGTAAATTTGGTCAGCAAACGAATATTACGCCCAGTTTAATCTACAAATACCAAAGAGTGAGTCTTATTTCTCTAGTAGAAGAATAAATGAAAAACAATCTAGTTTTGCTCTGGAATTATTCTTTGCATTGATTAATATAGGTATGTTCTAAAACTTAACCTTAAAAATACTCCAGATTCTTCAAAAAAGCAGAATACTTGAGTTAAATTAAATAGAAATTACATAATATCACGCCATCCTGGTTTTTCAGAAATCACATCTTCACCATTCTTGAAATTCTTCCTGCGCTGTTGGTAATTATTTACAAGTTCTGGGATGGATGTTCGATATTACTAATTTTTTAAATATACCAAAGTGTTACTAATTTGTTTGATTTGTTTGCTTTTCTTTAGTTGCTAGTACCTTGCTGGTACTTCAGATCATTCAGATTGTTCTTCTGAATCTTCTGACTCTTTATATTCTGTGTTAGACTCCAATACGGAAGTTGACAATACTGCTGCTGCCGTTACTGTTGTTAAAATAAGCTTTAAGGACACTTTTTTTCTTTTGAATAGATGAATTGTTTTTTAACGAGCAGCCTTTCTATTTGTAGACCAGATCTGTTTTTTGTTTTCAATCTGAAGATAATACATATCTTGTCGTAACTGGAGAGCCGTTCACCATCTTTTTATGTCAAAAACATTTCTTTGTTTTACATTCGGTCTAGTTTTGCATGTACAACTTGAATTAATAAATTAGAAAATTTAATTTTTTTTTACGATAAACTTGTTAATTCTTTCTCAATTTGCTTTATGAGTTCTTGCCCCCTGTTTTAGTAACGGCTTTGCATGAGTAGGCTTGACTTTATAAAATACAAATTGAAGTGAGTTTCTGTCGACTTCAAACTTAGTTTTATCGGCACATGGTTGAGCTAATATGGCGTATTGATTGACAGCTGTGTACAAAAGAAAAAAAGTAAATTTTAAATTTTTGAATAGAAAATAATTGAATAGATAGATAGATCATACTTTATGGAGTGGACCAATGTTTTTTTAATTTTTTTAATTAATGGCACTTATATAAGAGTTTTATGATAAATTCTTATTTAGAAGCACACCAAGAAATTTAGATGATGGGGTTTATTCAATAATTGTATTGTTTATACTAAGAGTTAATAAAATTGATGAAGTTTTCTTTTTGGTTAAATTAAAAGAAGATTTATTCTTTCGTTTTAGTTTAATGATATTTTGTTTGCACTGAACCATGTGTTAAATTTTATATGTTTCTGTTTATTAAAAATTTTATATGTTTCTGTTTATTAAAAATTTTATATGTTTCTGTTTATTAAAAATTTTATATGTTTCTGTTTATTAAAAATTTTATATGTTTCTGTTTATTAAAAATTTTATATGTTTCTGTTTATTAAAAATTTTATATGTTTCTGTTTATTAAAAATTTTATATGTTTCTGTTTATTAAAATTTTTATATGTTTCTGTTTATTAAAAATTTTATATGTTTCTGTTTATTAAAAATTTTATATGTTTCTGTTTATTAAAAATTTTATATGTTTCTATTTACTAAAAAGATTTCATTGAGCAAGAAGAATAAAATAGAACAGTGACGTCAGCAAAAAATTATGCATTGTAACTTTGACGAGACTTTAAGAAGATTGTTAACTTAAATTAAAAATAGATGGGGAGCTAGAATAGTTCCATTAAGGACCCCAAACTGGATTTTCAGCTGTTTCGAGTTGTTAATGTAATTTATACTAACATGTTGTTGTAATGTAGCAAAACATTTCTTAGTTTGATTTTTAATGCCATAATTTTCTATTTTTTTTAAATAGTAGCATTTCGAGTACAAATGTTTCAAACCCCTGTGTCAGATTAAGAAAGACTTTTAATACAAACTTCTCATCATTTGAAGGACTTTCAAATAACACCAATTCAGCAAAAACTTAGGGAGGGGGGGGGAGGTCAAGTTTGTGAAAACAAGTTCTCTTCCCGCCTCTATTAACAAAATCATAATATTGATCAAAACAATTCATGGCAAATGTTTTACCTTAGGATATATATATATATATATATATATATATATATATATATATATATATATATATATATATATATATATATATATATATATATATATATATATATATATATATGTATATATATATATATATATATATATATATATATATATATATATATATATATATATATATATATATATATAAATATATATATATATATATATATATATATATATATATATATATATATATATATATATATATATATATATATATATATCGTGTTCTGTTTAACATTTATACAGTCAAGTGAAATGTATTCTTTCAAAGAGTTTAGAAATTATTTGTAGCTTTGAGTTAAGTCTGTACCCAGCGGGCACAGACTTAACTCACAGACTAACGGACGTCACAAGTCTGAAGGAGGACGTCACAAGTCTGAAGGTCTTTTGGGTACCACATATTATGTGTTTATGTTTAAAAAGTGAAAGTGTGCTCTAGCTCTAATCAGATTTTAATATATTTCTTGGGGTACCACCTTAAAACGCCGAGCGGAAATTATGTTTTTAGTTCTGTGTGCTTTGGTTAAATACTTATACCAGATGTTTTTCTAACTCTAAATAGAGGTACTATTTGCTATATTTAATTTGTCTAAAACTATCCTGTTTTTAGTTGGAAAACTGAAGATGTTAAAAATTGACCTAAAAAAAGTAAAGGACAACATTGCTAAAAATGCCGTAATTTAATTTAAGTGATTAGAATTTTGCTTCGAGTTCATTTAAGTTTAAATTTCTCTTTTTGGCGATGAACACTGAAAGTCACTAAAACAATTTTGAAATGATTTAATTTTTGATATAAGGCTTAGAACAGTGTTTACAATGAAATGATTGATTATATATATATATATATATATATTTTTGTCTTTATAGTCAATATCGTTTCTCATTATTCTGAGTGGTAAAATCTTAGAAATTATTTTACTTTTATCAGAAATTTATTTCATGACGTCCCGCATTTTCTTTATACTCTTTATGCTTAAGTTATTCTTTAAAATTATTTTTTATAATTGTTCGAAATAGGTTCAATGAAATAGGTTTTTATATTCTTTAGAAACATTAAGATCAGCTTAGTTTCTGCTTTTTGACCATTTGATTTATAATTTGTGCTAATTTTTTGAAGATTTTCTTATTTTTGTAAATCCCAGTCATTTCAATTTTTTTGTTTTAATTTCTATTTCTTTTATAAAAAAAGGTTTGTTAATAAATAAAATAATAATAGCAAAAAATAAAAAAACAATAATAAATTAAAAAAGAAAATTATAGTCATAAATAAAATAATACTAAATAAATTGTTATACAAGAAAGATGTCGAGAAATAGGGTATAGGCGGAATTGTGTTTCCAAGGTTACATTCTTGGTATATATTTATCCATCTTATTGTTGATAAAGATTCTGTAAAATTAAGCATAATTTGTTTAATGACTTTTTCGTTTAAAGCTTTTTATATTAACCTTTTTTCTTATGTTTTGGTCTTCAACAACAACAACAAAAAATTAAAAAGTGATCGGATTTATCAGTTTTAATTATTCCTGTTTATAAGGACTTATCTAGAAAAGAGTTTATTGGAAAATTGTCCATAGCAGTGATGTAGTTTTTTTTTTTTCATTACTGCTTTACATAAAAAATTGTTGCAAATAATTTTAAAGTTGACTAACATCAAGTGTTAGGACCTCATTTTCTGAATAAATGTCGAGAGGTATTTTCTTATTATGATATCGTGGTCATAACGAATGTAAACTATAGTTCCTCCTCGCCTTTATGCTTTTTTCCTCAAATGAAATAAATTTAGAATTAGAATTATGAAAATTTGAACTGTTTTGAGATGACTTATTATCACACCATGAGTTTAAAAGGAGTATAGTGAACTTTTTTAAAGTTCTATAAGTGTTTATGAAGAAAAAACAAGTCTTGCCAGTCTAAAATAAATAGAGTTCAAGATCTTACTTTAAAAAATCAAGAGAAAAACTGTATGACGATGTATAGTAAATAGTACTTTAAAAAAAAAAAAAATTTGGCTAAAAAAAACAATTTTTCTTTATACATTATTAACGCATATACCTGTGTTAAACAAGTTTTTTATTGATTTTATTTTTTAAAATCTTAAACACTTTTTAATGTAGAATGGCAAAACTTGTTTTTACTTCATAAACACTTATAGAATTTGAAAAAAGTTCACTATCCGGCATATCCGGCAAAAATATCCGGTACATCTCTATTTTTAACTGCGTTTTAAACATTTTGATATCAAAGTATTGCATGCTAAAATCTAATCTTTTAAAAAGTTGCATATCTGCGTCATAAAAGTTGTTAAGTAAAATACAGATGTCACTTTCAAAAAGTTTATTAGTTTCGTTTTGAAGATAATTTTTTCGTTATCCATTGTGCATGTTTAGTATTATTACAATATAGAGGTTAAGCATTATACTTATTTGAAAAATCTTCCATACAAAATTTTTATCATATTTGATAGAGACATGTTTACCTTCTTATCGGTCGCTTTTTATTTCTTCCCAAACTTTTTTTATTTTTTTATAGGGTTTCAGTTCCGTAGTCTTTATTTAAAAACATTTCGCTGCCTTTTTCAAAAAACAAGGGTTTGCACTCTACAACACAGAATTTGCACTAAAAAATTTGCACTAAAGTTTAAAGATATAAAGTATGAAGCATTTTAAATGTGAACACTGAGAAGTTTTTAAAAAAACTGCAATTACCTAAATAATTTACTAGCACTAATTGATTTACAGCAACTTAAAATTTTGAATTAATCATAAGAGGCTAAAATTTCTAAAATGTATCTTTTTCTTATTACTCTCATAAAACCCGTGTAGAAATGCTGCAATTCTAAATTTTAATACCAAGATTCAATACTCGCTGAATCTGAAAATTTAGTTTTGTATCTCTCAAAACAATAGGATATAATTGTGCAAATAAAAATCTCATCAATAAAATAAGTAATAAAATAACATATGTACATAACATGTCCAATAAATTTTATCTTATTAAGTTATATTTAGGTAATACTTTGTAAATATTGTATATTAACTAATATAAAATAAATATAACCTTAGTAAATGTAAACTTTTTTGTACAAAACCTTTGTAGATAAAAAACTTTTGTAGATAATCTGTAAAGTCTTGGCGATAGGTAGTTGAAAATTAGGCATTTAAAAAATGTTTATTAGAACTATTTGTTCAAACAATATATGTTGCTGATAAATATAAGTACTTTTGTTTTGGAGACATTATTTGTGATCAAGAGTACTTTATTCCTTAGGGATTCCTTTTAAGATTTTTTGTATTGTTTAGGTTGTGATTACTAAATAGAGTTTTAAATGCATAACAAAATTAATTTTTGCTTTATATAAACTTTAGAGCTTGGTATAAACAATCATATTATCAAGATACAAATCTGATTGATGATAATGACAGGAATTATTAAGATTTTTAAAACAAACAAACTTGAAAAAAGAACAAATTACTAATATATGCACAGACCGTCTTGAAATTGTTAGATATGAGAGTAATCAAATCTTAATTTAGATACGTTAGTATAGACTAACTTGATACGTTTAAACCAACCATTACTTTGCAAGAGCTACATTAAAATCCCATCCCGCTTTCCAAAGCGATATATCGTATCGGGTGTGACACGGGAAAATTTAAATTGAGATTTCTCTGGAACCATAAATGCTTTTTATCCAAACTTTTCAAATTAATGTGTTTACCTCAACTAGGGTTTTAACATAATTTTAAGGGGCTTGATCGGCTTGATTGACGGCAAGAGACCAAATTTTATAGCGGGTTGATGCCAATATATCGCAGATATTTTCTTTTTTCACCTTAATGGTGGCATTAATCCACTATTTTCGGAATTTATTTTTATTTTTTGTTACTCCACCTGCCTTACATAAAACTTCTTAATAATAATGCCCATAATCATCAATCTTGCGCTCTTTAGGACGGTTTGGAGGATTTTCATACTTAGGAACAATTTTCACATTATTATTTTTGCACCACTGTCGAATTTTTTTGGAACAGTGAGAAGCAGTAAGATCTGGGTAAAAGAGACACCGGTATTTGTGTTTTTTCATAAATGGCAAAAGCCTTTTTTGAAAGCATTTTTGATGTAGAGATCAATAGTCAAGGTCTTCTTAATGACAAAACAAGAGTTTCGCATATCACAGCTACAAAATGCTTGCCACACAAGGAACATGAAAGAAAGTTTTTTTTGTATAATACATTAAAATTGATCATTGATAGATTTATTTTTTTTCTCATATTAAAATTGTTGACCAAAAAGTTGTGAAAAATTCACCTGATTATTCCTTGTTTACAATAATTATGATATATATTTCCAATCGATGCTTCAACCATCCATTTTTGACTACTTTCTTTGTTTCACTTCAATACATCCTTTTAAAACACGTCTCAGTATTCTAATGAAAACAAATTATGTAAACAAAATTTATTTAAAAGGAAAGAAGTTTATTAAAAAGCCTGTTTTATTATTTTTGATGCGAGTGTCTAAAATAGGGAGCATCCCTTATTAAAGAGCATTAATTAAAAATGTAGAGCCTTTGATAAGATCTGGATTAAACCCGTACCCATTGTATAGCTTTTATTTTAAATCCAAGCCCCCGGATTCAAAACAATTTTTTTTTTAATATTTTCTGAAAATAAAATATTTTATTAACGATTTGGAAAGGAGCCTATTGTTTTTTTTTTTAATCTT